TTATTGTAAAAGCATTATTTACGTGTATAAATATTTTTACTGGTTCTATGCCAACGTCGTGATATTTATACTGTTTCCATGCCAGTTTGAGACTGTTTTTCCTGTTTACCGGTATAAATACAGCAAGTTTTCCTGTTACGAAAACCAGATAAGTCATTATTTCGATAACCAGTCAAATAGGCAGAATTTATGATGAACTGCTTAAAAAGCATCGTTATAGCTGTTCTGGCAGTTTACTCCATTTTAGCCATGTCAGCACGTGCTCAAGTGCAAGTAAGTTATCAAATTTTAACTATTTATGAATTTTAGTCCTACTATACTGAGCATGGAACCGGCGTGTCAAGCAAAGTTTCAAGTCTTCAACATTCTTTCACGGAGCAAGTTACGTGTTTTCAGATGAATTGTTTGGAATGTGGTTTGGTGCTCTTTCAAATGGTCTAAGATTTGAATACAGAAGGCATTTATCTTGGTGTCTAAACAATTTTATTATTTCCCTGTCAGCAGTGTGGCAAGGACGGTAAGGACGGCAAGGACGGTACCAACGGAACGAATGGCAGAGACGGTAGGGACGGGAGAGACGGCTTGCAGGGTGAGAGAGGCCCGCCAGGACCTAAGGGAGAAAACGGTGAGGTTGAAACATATAATGTTATGCTGAGAAGTTTATGGACCTTGAGCACAATTGAGAGTGGTTGTGTTTTCAGGAAAAGGTGATTAAGGGAATTATAACTGTAAAAAGAAAACAAATCAGTAAAAACAACAAAGGCAAAAGTAATTTTATGCTCAAGCACGTAAAAATAAAGATAGACACTTTCTTTGATTTTGCTAAACCTGAGATTATAGTGTAAGTTTGAAAGAAAAAAACATTTGATCATGTTGACACCATCATTCAGTTTAAGTTATTGAGTAACATATCTCCCAATGAATACATAACCCTGTGTACTTGTATAGCTAATGTTTTCGATATTCTGTTTTTAACAGGTTCACAGTGTTCTCCGAGAAATATTAGACAGTTCACTTGGACGGATATCAACGACGGCAAAGATGACGGTCTGATTAAGGTAAGATAAATATTGAGTCTCATACAGAAAAAAGCAAGATAGTTGAATTTATACTACTTTATTTCTCAACATATTGCACCTTCCCACTCCACACACTTTTCCAATCTACTTTGCCAGTCACTGATACCAGATGGGCTAGGTATTCTTGAAAGTTTTTTAATTAACCTTCTGTTTAATTTAAGGAGGTGACATTCTTCAAAGCCGAAATGTCAACTATGCTCCGAGTGGCTTTCCACGGTAATATCCGCGTCATGACCCCTGCAGGGCAAACCGAGAGCTGCCGGCGTTACTGGTTAACATTCAATAACACCGAATGTGACAGTCCCGCATCTATTGATACACAGTTCTATTCTACCCATCAGTATAATATTCACCGAGATTCCACCCGTAAGTGTTCTTATAGAAAACTTTTGTGTGTATGTACAGGTATGTGTAGATGTGCACGTGTGTTCTTTTCCGTGCATGTGTATTTGCATGTGTACCTTGCGTGTTATTTACGCGTGCTGTGTTTGTATATTTTACTGTATATGAATAATTAGGATTAATGTGTCTGTCGATCTGTACTTTTGTGCGTGCGCCGTGTAAGTTAAAATATTCTGCCAGTCTTTGGAATTGATTTGTATATTTTTACCTAAATTAAGTATGGCTAAAGAGAAAGTAATAGACTTAGAGGAAAACAATTTTTGTAAAAAAAAGAACATGCCTATAGGCTGTAGAATATGTAAGCAATTAACTAAATTACGGAACCTGTCGGGATATCGTGTCGTCATGAAACGTTTCCCGCCAATAATTAGTATTCTTTGCCTTAAAATCAAATGCCTCAAGTCGACACGCCTGATTATGAAATTCACTGTGTACTTTATAGTTGAAGGTATCTGCGAGCACTTACGGTCGGGACAAGTTGTGATTGGTGTACATGTTGGCCCTTGCAAGAGAGGAGAAAGTCAGTTAGGAGGAGATGCATACACTGGCTGGCACAGTGCAACCAGAATTATCGTTGAAGAAATCTAACAGCCAATCGCCTTTGTGTTCACAAGAGGGCTTCCTTTGTCCAGAAATTAGACGATCTGATGTCATCGAAGGCTTGGGGTAATTTCTATAAATACTAGGAAGATGGAGTCGCTTACAGAAATCAACTTGACTGGAAGGAAGCTCGCGATTGTTCCTACTGAAAATCGATGTTTTTCTGTCCTCTTTACTGAATATCTACATAAATCTTCAAATGACAAGTAAAACTCAAGGGAGGTTTTTAAACAGTTTTAATGTAATACGTATCAATAAAAAATTATATAGTTTAAGAAAATATGTTATTTTCCCACTAAAAGCGGCATCCCATCTGTTGGCGTCATATCAATTTTATGGTGTAAAAAAACTAATTTTGTTTGCAAGTTTGCCTCTCACCGAGACGGATGCTAAACAAAGCTCACTGCTACATGTATTCGTGGGCAGTGCAGAGAAAATACAAACTGTCACAAGTTTTTATTTATAGGCACGGTTGAGATATCCAGTGGATATACATTTATGTACATGTTCTATTATTTTATAATAAATCTGCCATTATATACTGATGTGGGTGCGTGTTGGGGGTGTGGCGGTTAAGGATATTGTTAACATGTAGTTTTAGCTGAAAAATCCAATTAAGTATACAGTCACTGTCATCAAAATTACTGCGTTTATATTTAGAATCTTCTGCCATTTCGGAATCTCCTTAATGGACGTGAGTCTCTCCAACTGTAACGCTTCCTGTTCCGGAGTGAGACGACGCACTTTGGTCGATGCTCCACACACAAAGTTGAAACATTTCTGCTTCCAAGTGGTCGGGTTGGCGTGGTCTGTGAATAATCATTTAAACCATTAGAATGAAAAACCCAGTGAAATATGTTATCGTCAACGTTTTAAATTTGTTAAATGAAATAACTCCAACATAGTGGGAATTCAAATGAAAATCATTCTAATGAAAATGTTCGATCCATTCATTCCCAAAATAATCACCATTACCATAGAACAATTAGCAGCTTTTAGTAGTAAAAGGAGCATGTTTGTAAACTGACATTAATGATTAAAGTAAGAACATTGTTTCTGTGCCCCCACCCGCACTGCTCCTCTTCTAATAGAAAAAATTCTGATAGAAATGCCGTTGTCTCGCCCACTAGAAATTGACCGAGACCACAACCTTCATATCAACGTCGCATACTGCAAGTTTACCTAATTCCATATCGCCAGCCGTTACATCTGAAGGTTCCTGAATTTCCATTTTCTGAGTGGCTTCTGTCCTCTCCACACTACTGGTCTGCAGCTTTTCATGGCGAGTAAACCACGTGACCCCAGCAAGCTGAAACGATACCGATTAACCACGTAAAACATTAATCTAATAAAACATGACGTTACAATTTCTTGGACAAATAATACCTGAATTGTAATAAAATTATTGACAAACAATCCATTCTGCGGAGAGAGTTAACGTATCATTATTCATTTTGCCCATTATCACTGCATACGTTCAGTAACTTACTGAGTAAGGTACATGTACATGTATGTCTCCAACTTCGGATATGACAAAATGTTCTAGAGCATTGTGTCGATTGCTGCAGCGGAGACGAAAAGTCCAGTTTCTTACCTCCGATTTCTTTCTGGGTTCAGTGAGGATGCTGATTGTGGCAATTGCGACAGCGGAGATAACCGAGTTGATGATGGAGAAGTAAAGGTAGTGCACGTCAGCGAGCACGGCCGGTCTGAGGTCGACCTCGCCACATCCGGGTTTGGGAAAGGACCAGTCCATTACCATCCTGGTTAGACCCACTGCTGTCCCGACAAGGAGGCCCCAGAAGGCGCCCTTCGGTAAAATTGCAGTGTTATATATAATATGATCTGTTGGGGCAGATAGCCTATACAAAACACAGTGCAAGTACAAAATACAGTATTTGCCACCGTTCTGACTTTACTGTTTCATCTGACAAACATCTTCTCATCAATTTGTTATGTGGGAATACAGCAGAAATCTAAGGAAGAATGAAGGTTTGCACGGAGTTATGACAAATATCTTCTCATCAATTTGTTATTAGGAAATATCAACAGAATTCTAAAGAGGAATGAAGGTTTGCACAGAGTTATGACATGCTCTGTGTAACGTGCAGTAAAAACTCTTTTATGAGCCATTAAAATAGAGCACTCTTACCTATATCACCAACTCCTGAGAAAAATTTAACTTAGCGAAAATAATTTACACAAAATAATATATACTCAACTGCATGCTTCTCAAAAGTATGTGGTTTGAGCCATTACGTGATTGTCTTTGTCACTGACAACTTTGTGACGTTGTGCAATGAGCACAAATGAGAGGTTGTGAGGCAATAAATGTCTGCCCTAAAATGCTAATTGCAATAATTGTTCATACCTGTTCCGTGGTTCGTGTCCATGACACTCCTAGTACGTAGACCATACACCAGGGCGGCGCTATATTCGCGTATATAGACTGCAGGTAGTTCCACAGCTGTCCTCCCTGGACGGCATTCAGGATAGGAACCCACGCTATACTCACAACTACCAGAACCAGGATAAACACCCTGTAAATGGAGGGAAAAAAGAGAAAAATTCAGATATAAAAATATGTTCACATTAGGTGCAATTAAGACCAGAAATGGACTGATCCTGTTAGGTTACTGATTTTTGGGGCTTGAAACGATATTTGCCTTATGGTGCTCATAGTTTTATGTATGGATTTTGTCTTCAAAATATATTCCTAAGCGGCGGTCGAAACAAACGAAGCAAGCAAACGTGCGTAATTTTTTTTCTTGATTTTTGTTTTGAAAAAATAACCTTACAGACTTCCAGTTAGCACAAACGTTTCTGAATATGCGAAATGCGATCCTTTCAATTTAAGCAAATTAAACAACTGGAAAACTGGATAAGAGTAACTTTTGTCTTGAATCAACAAATTTAAACTAAAATGATGTTGCTACTTCCATACATGTGAACCGTGGTTGGAAGACGCGTCACCCACCTTCCTACAATCATTTTCTCTGTCTCTGTTGCTCGTTTTCTGAGTTTGGTCCACAGATCCAGGGTAAAGATGCTGCTGGCGCTGTTAAATATAGAGGTCAGCGTCGTGGTCAGCGCCGACAACATGACGGCCAGCATTAGCCCTCGAAGTCCTGGAAGACATGTAGTATAATGATGAAAGCAAGGAATGGACAACACCTTACTGCACCAATGTTTTTCAATTCATTGAATATTTGTCAATTACTGTATAGCTGCATCAAAGATGACATAAATGATATTTTTCTTTTCTAAAGATGCTGATTCGAATGATATCTCATGAATAAACAAATGAAAAGTATGAGTTGAATAGATCAACCTACCGACTGGCAATATTTCCACCACCATCTTGGGATAGGCTATGTTATAGCAGCCCACTCTATTCTGACAAACTTTCTCACATATGTCTGGGTCCACACAACCGACCTCATCTAAAATACACATACAACAAATGGAATAGCTTAGACACAAGAGAGACTAAATAACGTCATCACAAGATCAGACTTTTTCGGAGAGCATGCAAAAATCTAAAGTGCAACGGTGGTCCCTGTTTTCAAGTCATTCGGTGACGTCAGTTAAACTAATAGAACATTTTTTCGGTGACAGTTTCCAAGTTTAAAATATGCAGAATATGCAGTCTGTGTGTGTGTGTGTGTGTGTGTGTGTAAGCCTCAAATAAGAGTGAAATTAATGTAGTTATGTTGATGATATGTAATACATTGTAACCCACCAGGGAAGAGCACCCTGCTCACCATCCCCGGCAACACAATGATGATGAACGGGAGCAGCTTCAGGTAGCCGGCTAGAATGGTGCCTCCCTTGGCGTGGTGAAGGTTCTTAGCGGCAAGAACTCTTTGGACAATTATCTGAATTATGGAAAGTCAGCATTTATATAACGGGGTCAGAATAATTTTTTTAATGTAGGTAGCGGAATATGAGCTGTCCTACAGGCCGACAAGTACAATGTTCCAGCTGTAGTTGGGTCGAATTTTAACTTAAAAAAGGATCAAATTAAGCTGACAATGTTTAAGACATTTTACATAACGTGTATTGCATTTGAGGAAAGCAATAAGAAGTGAGATACATAGAAACAGAAACGTTGTTCTAATACATCCCACACCTAATGCCATGTGCGTCGCATATCATGCTATATACTTATGAACGCCTCATTTGCCTTTAGTGAATATTCAATTCTTATTTCTACCAGTATCCATAGAGATCAACGGCAAAAAATAATAGTGAGCGCCGTTTATATAAACTGAATTCAGTTATCCTGCAATCTGCCTACCTGTTCATTACACCAGACCAGGACAGCAGGAGCCATAATACCAAACACCACCCCCGGCCACGGCAATATGGCAGAATCCGGGGCTCGGAAGATGCGGAGAGAATCCGGTGGCGGGTAGCCGGCAGTGACGTTACCGGCGCACGTGGTCACGTTGGGGGCGGCGTCCAGGAATTTGGCGAATAAGCCTTCAAATCCTCCGACTTTATCAAAGCCTTTGTGAATTAAAAGAAAGAAATAAACGATCTAGTGACCGGTCGTGAGAGCCTTTATGGGCAGACTGTTCAACCTCTTATTTTTACCTGCCAATGTAAAACCACCAATATAAAAAATGCTACTGTTTTAGCGGAGACACTTTTTGAGATTCAGAACCCCTTTGAGCGTTCCATCCTGTCACAAAATATCATAATTTTTTTATAGTTATTCAATTTTTAAAAAGATACCTACCAATGCCCGTCATGACCAAAGCACCCCCTACCAAAATAACAGTCTGAACAGCGTCTGTGTATATGACGGCAGACAGGCCTCCCAGTACAGTGTAGACCGCAGTGATCAGCACCACGCTGATGGTGGCTATGTACAGGTCCCAGCCCAGAGCTTGCTGGATGAATACGGCACCAGAGTAAACTGCTACCTGCAACAGTAATGTCGGTGGACCTATATTGGGATGTGAATACTATGTACTTGTATGATACTTGATAGAAGAGACAATAGAAAAACCATTAAATTGACCATAATGTCCTATAGAAAGAACATTGCAGTCTTTTTCTTTATCGATTTCTGCTTCAATTTTGAATCTATTTCATGTTTAATTTAGACTACAAAGTTAAGGTTTTCGCAGCTACTGTTTTATTTATTAAAAAAAAGAACGACTTCCTTGCTTAGGCAAAGAAAAAAAACATATGCAGTGTATAGGTACATGTACAGTTTATCCACTCACTGATATTTTGGTCACGATCATGAGAAAAATGGACATCACGGATAATAAAATACGCAGTCTCTCTCCGCCATATCTTTTCCGCAAATATTCGGGCATGGTGTAGCACTAAAACAGTAAACAACAAATATAAGTGAAGTTCATTTAAAAAAAAAAGCACATTAGTACATTTTCCTGTTCCTGAATATCCATGCAACATCAACTTATAATGAAAAATATACAGTATGTAGGTTCTTAGTATAAGAAGTGAGAAGTTAATTTAGTTAACGCAAACAAAAATGTCCACTTTTACTAGATGTGCATCTTATTTTTAACAAGGTTTATCCAAAGAAAAGAAGCGACTTATAATTTTTTTAATATAATTTCTGTATTGAATTTAGGTTGTACAACTACCCACTTCGATAATATTTTTCAACTTTAAAACTACTTACGCCGGAAGATATGTACACAGGTAAGAAAAACCATCCTAGTAGAAGAAGCGGAAAGATCGCCTGGAAGATAAAACACATGTTGAAACTACCCTCGTCTCACCAAATACCACATAAAAGGTCGAAACTTAAAGTTGAATCTGAAACTGACATTTTTAAAATGTTGAGACATGTTTTTGATTGGATGTGACATGATATTAAAATGTGAATAGACTGTTTAAAAGATAGATAAGAATCATCTTGGAACAATAACGCTTAAACAGTCTCCTTAAAATGTTATGACTGCTTTTAGATTTACTTACACAGCTACACCACTGGAGTGAGGCCAGATCCCAAATTGAATTTTTCATAAGTGCGTTTTCAAATTGATTAAAATTTAAAGATAGTTAAGAAGTCTCGCATTGTTTGTGTCGTATTTTCTCTTTCAGTGTTATGTCTGTAAAATTTGAGAAAAATATAGATACGGGATTATTATTATTATTATTATTATTATTTATTTATATATTTATTTATTTATTAAGGATTCCTCCAAGTCACCACATAAAATGTAGGCCAAGACAGCAGTATTCAGTCTGTCTGCAGATCTAGCATATCAATGCGTAAGCGGTGATTTTTACAAAAACACCTACTATGCGCTTGCACAAAATTGTCCGCGACGTATGCTGCGCGCCATATTTTGCAAAATCCGTAACTGTTATGTAAATCAATTAAGGTCTGTAAATAACTCGCATGAAACTATCAAGAATAAAAATCAGAACTTGATGAAACGGACTAGTGTAACACGCTTCAGAAATGCGAGTGCTTGGCGTGGATTTCACCTCGCGCTAAAAAAAAAATGGACAAGGCTAAATTTACAAAACGTGTATACTGCCAGAAGCCCAGTTTAATTGGCTTTCATGATTAGGTTTTTTCTTATAGAAATCTTTTAATAGAAAATTTCGGACACCTGAAACGAGAGGCCATTTACAATCACCCACGTGGATAAATCTTCTGTTTTACCGTTCTAAATCTATTTTTATGACAACTAACCTTAAAATTCAGACTTCCTATATATTCCCGCATCTTTTAATTTGCCTATCGATTATCGTTTTACGTATCGTTTTATCACATCACATGTTGACAAAAATACACATGAAAATACGACGAGCTCAAAAGTCGTCCATTTTCACTCGATTTTGCTGAAAGTAACTTGCGAAAATAGCCTTCGCTGCAGCCATTTTGCACGCACAGCCCGGCATCTGCGGACAGACTGATTATTCGCGTTTTAACGTTAAAACTGGTTTATACGGTAGATTCGGGGGCGTCTCGCTAGTCCGAAGGTTCATTGGTCCGAAAAATGGTAACATTTCCATCGTTTTTTTCAATCAAGGGTCCTTTGTTCCGAAGGTTCTATAGTAAACATTCGAACCAATTAACCTTCGGAACAATGTACTTCTCTCTAGCCACCGCGAGAAGTTTGTTACAAAATTATTGTACTATTTTAGAAGCCCCTGGTATCATAGGGTAAGGATGTGCTACGGTATCAGCTTACCGTCCATTCAAACATTATTACTGCAATCCCACTGGCAGCTGCTGTCCCTGCCATTCCTATGAAAAAGTGACTCCCAACATTTGTGGCAAATATGGACGCACCAACCTGAAATAAAAGTATAACATAGAGACGCGCTGCACCTAGAGGCATTCTTACTCGCTAATTTCTCATTCAAATAGTAACGCTATTCATTAGCATATGTTTGTGTCTTGTCTCTAAATATATAAAGTCATCTCTTTCAAAATGAGTTCAAATTGATTGCGTTAATGCATACAGCTTCATATGTTGAGAATCTAGACTACCCTCCTTCAGAGGCCGACTGGGTGACAGCGTCGATGTTGTGCAAAAAATCCTGGCAGAAAAGTCTGCTCAGCCAGTAAATAGGCATAGTGATATATGTGAATATCTGGTGAAAGATTTCTCCATACAGGGTATGTGGAATTGGTAGAGTCAAGATGAGAGTAGAGAGTAAGATGAACCAGGTAATTGAGACTTGACGTGCCTTTGGACTTGATATGAAAATTATTCTTGAGTGATATTATATTTAACAATGCCATTGCGGCACTTCGAGGAAGGAAGTCTGTTTTTAAAAAGAGCTGTGGGTCAGTAACGCATAGACCATTTCTCGTAAATACTCACGGGTAGCCATGACATGTCTTTTCCCGCCAAGAAGTATCCCTGGACAGTGTCTTGCTTGTGTGAACGGATACTGGTCTGAATTATGAAATAAAACAATGATAAAAACCTAGTTTATCTTAAAGACAGTCAAGTTCTTACTCTGGTGCGTCTTTCTTAATAAGCAAATTGCTAGCACCGATTGGCTATGTCTAACAATCTGCCATATTATTTTGTATATTTAATACGCCAATGCAATTACATGCGAAAACATGCACACACGCGCACACACAAACATGCACACACACGCACTCAAACACATACCCAAAACTTAAATATAAAGAACTAGTCTGAGAGAGCATATTTAGCATGGTTTGTTAGAGCTTAACGAATTAAATGGTTTGTTAGAGCTTAACGAATTAAATGATATGGTTATATATATTTGATAATTTAAATCTTAGCGTGACTTCAGTCTATTTATACATTAAAATGCTGCACTCCACATCACATGCTTCATTACAAATGTAGCACATGTAGGGAGTGGAGAGGAGAAATTCTTTTTATACGTGTAGACTGCGTGTCTGAAGCTATTTAGCGAACTCAACTTTGTAGATCCAAATGCAGAAGTTGAAATGCAGCAAATCTCTTTTTTCTTTTAAATGGCGTACAATAGCATACAAACGGTATGTATTTAAAGATATCCTATGCGGGATTTTTCCCGCCAAATCGAATTTCCCTCGTTTTCACGCTCTTGAATCATTGCTTGCCCTGTCCCTGCATTGAATTCGATGTTTTCTACCTTTCTTATTAGACAACAGGCAGTTTATTAAAAGACTAGGCTTTTTAAGGTCATTGTTTTTAAGATCTAAATTGGTATAGATGAGCAACTTTCCAGGATAGGTAGAAAATAAGAAATGTGACATTTACAAAAGCGGGTGGTACTTTTTATTGCAACAAAACTGCAGTTAAATGTGCAATATGTCTTGCTGCATTCAATGTCCGCATTAATTGTCGTTATTTTCATGAATAGCAAAGAAGTAACAACGTATAATGTGTCCCAGCATAGCCTTTAGGTGGAGAAAAAAATGTTGGTGTCTTACCATGAATCTATACAATGAAATCTGATAGTTAAGGCCGTATTTATTCAGTGTAAGTCTAGATATATACATGTACACCATTATAACCCAAATATCAGTCCCTCCCAGGCGATTTTTATGAAAATTAATGACAAATGCCTTGTAAAGTGTCTCTCTTAAAATTGCCAAATAAACAGAGAGAGAGAGAGAGAGAGAAAAGGGTTGGAGAGGACAGGTGTGATTAGTTTTGAACTCGAGAAATTAAAACCTTGGATACGATACGGTGAAATAACAGCAATTCAGTAGAATGCCTACAGCTGACCTGTATTAATATTCAGTGGGCCTATTTGGCATTTGTTTGCAACCTCAATTTTCGACAATTAAAGTGATCCTCAGAATCATATCGATGCAGTATTTAAACACCTGTAAAACTTTACTTACCCACAGCCCGACTGCCAACACGATGACAAAGTACACAACAATGGTGAGAATATCACCCCAGTGGAGAACGGTTGCCATCTTGTAAGACTTGGATTAGATGTCCCCCGTGCGAGACGTAAATGCAACTGAATTTACTAGCACCGCATTGGGCCTTTATAGCTGTCTTAGGGTGGGTATCCACAGTTGCTGTTTGCTGAGGTAAAGCATCTACTGGTACGAAGCCTTTTTCAAATCAGTAATGGGGCAGGCAATACAGAATCACTTATCAAGGGGGCGGGACATAAGAATGATAAGGCTTCTGATATCGCACTTTATTCAACAATTGGCCCCTACACAGGTATTCCGCTGCACGCACGAGGCAGCAACCTTAGCAAACCAATGGGCTTACTACGCGTGCTGAATAAATTTAATAGGACCTACACGCCGTTGCTAGATGGTTTTGATGAGAAGCCGTCGCATATCCCCGCACTTCTTCACATTGCAGAGAGTAGCTCACCCTCAGGGACCCCATTACCTTGATATCTATAACAATGCCTGACTCCAATATGCCTAATAAACGGTATTGCAATTTTAAAAAATTCGAGTAAGATTCTTAATGTAAAAAAGAATCCCTCCCCCCCCTCCCCCACAGAGACATCCCAATTTATATGCGCACATAAATAATGACTGGTCCATCCACACGATAGGTCTATCAGTCCCCAACGTTTGAACCGCCTCACTATAATGGTCTAAATGGAGATAGCTTTAGTTACAACCCCCAGGGACAGCCCTACCCAAAAGCGCATTAAAGTTCCAAAGTGCTCAAGCAAGTCCCTGATGAAAGTTCCATCATATCCTTAAGTTTCTAAAGGTCTAGGAGGACACAGCAAAAATTACAGTGTGTAAAAATTTGAGCCATCCGCATGAACATTAAGGCAGCGCATGTTATTGTTTTTGAACATGCTCACAGCATTTTATCTCCATGTAAGTTCACTACTGTCTAGTACATGAGATTTACTCGCCAAAATGGATTTTCCGGAGAAAATAACCAATTTTCTCGTACTCTTGAATCTTCCCCCTCTGCACTTGGATTAGACCTTTGATCAAATTTATAAAGGTAGATTTTAGCTTAAAATGACTGACCAGTCATTATAACAGCGAGCATTTCCAATGGAAATATCAAACATCAGGTACGATCCAGAAAATATATTTTTAAATTTTGAAAAGAGTTAAATCATTTTAAGGTGTATGTAAGGTTTTATAAGAAGCTGTGGATCGCAAAAATAACCATTTTGGGGGATTTTTAAACCAATGCCATTGGGGCGGATTCAGGCCGTCTTCTGGGTCTTCCGGAAGACGGTCAGATTTTCAAGTTTACATTGACGGGTATCTATTTTTTTGTCGGAAGACGGTCAAAAATGGAAGATAGATCGACAAAGTTAATTTGGAAGACTGTCAGAAAACATCTCTGGATCCGCCCCTGATTAATGCAGTGTGCCATTAATATAAATATTCAACAATATTGTTACTGTGGCAATAAAGCAATCACCATAGCTACGAGGGTTTTCAATCCGTGGTAGCAATCCATGATATTTAAACACAGCGCGAATTCTTAGAGAGACTTAACTGGGGTTGTTCAAATCTCATTCTTTTTATTTCGTGCACACTGAACTGTGCATAATTATAGATAACGGACCACAAGGAGCTATACAGCCATATTAACAACGCTTTCTTTTGTTGGTGCCTTTGGTTTTAGCTTTTGTCTTTTGACCTTCAAAAATGTGGTTGTTTGTAAGTTAAGATTAAAGCATCGACTAAATAATTCTTATAACACGTCTCCATCTTTGAATCAAATGTAATTAAGAGATGCAACATTTCGTTTGTCAAGGTCTCTAACTTGAGTGTCATCTTTAATACCAGGACAACATATGTTTAATTTCTCAGATACGCTATTAGATAGCGGTAACCCACGACTTCAGTTTTACACCTGGAGGGGTATTAAATCTTCAATATTTGGAAAAAATAACTTTTTGATTCGTGTAAAAATTCAAATGCTAAAACAATCAAAATTTCAAACTACTGCGCATCGTGAACTAAGATGAAGAAAATTAAAAATGCAATTCAAGCACGTCGTATGTACCTGGAGATAATGTTTACATCTAAAACAGTGCACTATCTCTTTCAGTGTCACCCCCGCCGAAAGCACTTTATAAGTAGCTCAACTACACTTAGAAGTGGTCCGAATGCCCCACAATAAACTGAAGACCAAGCGGAACGTGAACATGCATATTTTCGTCTCTCTGTGCGGTATTCTCTGGCTTCTAGCCGTGGCTACTTCCTCAGTAAGTCAATTTTTTTATACAAGTAATACTATTGCTTTTTTTCCAATGCCATAGACGGAGTTTTCTAGTCGAGTTTCAGATTTATTTTTTACAGAGTGACATTGTAGGGTATTCCTGTTTTAAAGGTGCATATAAAACAAGGAAGGGTAATATACTTAAGATGATAATGTTTGCATTAGTTTTATCTTAAATATCTATGAAAAACATAACACGTACACATTATTCGCCCAAAACGTGCTTGTGTGATCTCTCCATCCAGCAGAGCAGTCACAGTACACTTGGGTAACTGTTTCGCTACGTTCACTACATCACCATCAAAGTCAGCAGCATCATACTCACAATAGCAAGACACATAGGCTGAATCATTCAGATCATAACAAGCAAAACACATGAGACCATTTCTAACATTAATATGCTGGGTTGACAGGAATAGTAGCCCTAGGACCAAGGACCTTAGGACCTGCAGCCGATCTAAATAATTGTTGACCAAAAAGCGCTTCCTGCAACCAGACCAACATCTTCATTTCAACTGAACAGTGCTCTCCGCACTGCTAGGTTTTTCTTTAGCGCACGACACATTTGAAACTAGAAAAGCACTCAGAGGGCGCAGACCTCCACCAAGGCAGCAAAGTCTCCACCCAATGCCGTTTCACCCCTAAATGTTCATTCTATAATGATTTAGTTTTTTATTTTTGATTATTGATTGATTATTGATCCGGATCACCACCAAAAAAGTAATCACTTTTAAGTTGACCCATTTCTGACCTACCCTGAAAATTCCATTGAAATTCATCCATAACTTTTTGAGTTACGTTGATGACAAACAAACAAAAAAACAGAGGTGAAAATAACCTCCTTGGCGGAGGTCAAAAGAGAGCAACCCCGCAATATAACCTATCTAAAAATTACGCGTAAGTTTTACACAACCGTATTTCAGATTCCCTTCTAGTCCCAAGCATCTCAGAGGAGTTTTAAAAATATGGGTTCGTATCGAAGAGCCTTTTGACTGACGAGTTAACCGACCCAACAGTGAGGCCATCGCCTCGTTCGGCGTTACCTCCATGTAAGGCCATGCAGCATATAACGCCGCATTTCAATGTTCCAGGTCACACAAGATGGCAGTAAGGGCTGCTTGTCAGCTAGCTACTGCAAGTCGGATGAATGCTGTCTCAGTCAATTCCATCTGAAAGGAAAACGTCAGCTTATACTCCCATCCATGTGGGGCACCTGTACAAAGATGGGCGTGGAAAATTCGCGTAAACCTCTGAGGCCGTATTCAGAACAGATGACCCGCGGACTAACTGATCCACGGACTAAATATGGCCGATCCCACTGAAAAGCTATTCGCCTTATCCCTTGATGGCCCCTCCGCCTCCACACTCGCCATCACTGCATGGGTCTTGCAATTAAACCTCGGAGCTGAGATTTAACCTGTTTAATGGCGCGTGTGGAGGCGGGGAGACCATCAAGGGATAAGGCAACTTGCTTTTAATATTTCTTTCATATTTAGTCCGCACAACAGTTAGGCTGTATTCCCAGAGCTTTTATATCGATGTATCCCCGCGGGGAGTCTCACTAGATTACTGTCAGATAATCTGGTTTAAATGTCCGTCCCGTCTACTACAAGCTGTAAGGGGGTAATTAACTTTGGTGTCCGCTCGGCTGACAGCTATTTAGCGTGAACCCCCAGGGAGTTAGGTCGATCTGAAGTAGATCGATCTAATCTCTGGAAATGGGGTCTTAGTCCGCGGATCATCAGTTCTGAATGCGATCTGAAACTTCCAAATCTTTCTACCTTTACCCTTGACCCACACTGACTGTAATATGCTAGATATCCTGTAGAAACTAGACTACAGTGTATATACAATAGTAATATAGCTATATCTTGCTAAGTACATGTATTAACGACAACGCGTGGAAAACATAAGCTTAATTCAAATAAAGATCATTTCACATTCCCCCTTGTTTGTTTTCAGTCTGTTATGTCAGCGGACCTAAGGAGAGAGGTCATTTCCACGTCATGAGATGTCCTTGTGGAACAGGATACGCTTGCAAAGGGACAGGTGTACATTTCTTTGAAGTACCCATGGGAGAAACAGGCAAGATTTGAAACTCTTTGATGTTTTGTAGATAATTTTCTATCTATTAAAAAAATGCAACACGTAATATCACTCAAGATTATATCTGATTCTTCACCAGGTCCATAGGCGAGTAAACCGCCCTTTTTGATGGAGAAGTTCTGCTCTGAAGCAAAATTTGCTCCAGGTTTTGTGCAATTTCCAAAGTTGGGTCAAAGGGTTACAAGGGTTCACGTATTTTTAGAAAAAAAACTATGAATGTTACTGGCTACAGACCTATTCACAAGAATAGCTTTATCTTTTTAACCAACAGCTCCTTTTCCACCACAATACTGTAACGAAAAATTAGACATTCTAAAGCACAGCAATTTTACCAAAAATCAAAGAAGTAATAGGCCTATATTTAAGATATAACAACTCTCCATATGAGATTTAAACTTACAAAATAAATACATTGTAAACCACACATAGAAATATAAAGGTAGTCCATATAACCACCGAATGGCGGTTTTCGCCAGGTGGCCCTTCATAGATGGATTTCCTCTGTAGTAATATGTTAGGAGATTCTTACCTAAAACACACTTTAAAAAAATGGCCAACTCTGCATGTCTGAACGGATTCAATAACCATTGATAAGTATGGGGAAATCGTTATTTACCCCAGGAAAATAACGTTTATGGCTGTTTTCCCGCCAAGCTCATAAGCTCAACCCGTAGACTGTAGACGGTTTAAGATTATAGCAGTGTTTATCTGGCAATCAATTCATTACTCTCTTTGCCACCCAGACAAA